AGTCCATGAAGGTCCAGGGCTGTTGGCCATCCAGAATCCCCTCAGAGCCCTCAGAAGGAGCCTAACCTGTTGACCCCTTGATTATGTACGTCTAATTTCCAGTACTCTGAAGAAAACGAATTCCTCTTGTTTTAAGCTACTCCATCAGTGACATTTTCTTGCAGCTGTCCTATGAAACAAACACATACCGTGTCCCTGTCACAGCAAACAMGCAACCTCCCCTTTGTCTTTGATAAGATGGCCTCCACACTTCCCCTCAATCCCACTTATTTGCCTGGCAAAGGGAAGACTTGTTTCCAATATATCTTTTTGAGTGAATGCTTTTCTCCTTTTCCTTTTTGACTAGAGGAAACCTCGCCGACCCATTATAAATTGGCTTTACCTTGGATTATAATAACAAACTCTCTTGTAACATATTATGAGATTTTTAAGGGTAGAGATGGTGTCATTTTTGCACACCCAGCACTCAGTGGCAACAAATATGCAGTCTGCTATGATGATGACATTTTTGACTGATGTGCCCTATTGAAGGTACATGACGTGGGGCACTCTAAGGTATGGCTTTGGAGTTAGGCAGATCAGATCTGTTTTAAAATTCAGATTCCACCACTGATCAGCTATTGAGTATTCTTGGGTACCCAAGTGGCATAACCTCTCTGGGCCTCAATAGCCTCATCTACAAAACAGGGCTAGAGATTTCTTTCTGATGGGTTATGAGAAACTGATAGGGTACCATATGCAAATGCATCTACACACATAGTAGATATAGTAAATGTCTACTATTTAGAATATATAATCACCATTTTGTTGGATTTATTGATGAGATTATAAAAGATAAAATTGGCACAAATACCCAGGAATGAAAGGCCAAATCTATTAAAATTAATTTTAAAAATGCGAGACATACTTCATTTGCCAATTACTAACCAGAATCATACAGCATCTGAATTTTCACTAAAATAACCATTATCTTGTCATTTTGATTGGAGAGCTCCGAGGACCTTGTTTTGTTTGTTATTGGAGATAAATTTAGTTTTTGGCAACACTAAAAATGAAAGGAAAAAAGGAGGAAGAAAAAAAGAGAAAGAGAGAGAGAGAAACCAGAAACAAAGAACAAAGGGAAGTAATCTGCTTCCTGCCAGGTCTCTGCCAATATCTAGTTCCCTAATGACTCACCATCTCCCTCCTTACTCCAGAGAGAAGCTAATTTGGTCCATAATTATTCTGTCCCCTGACTCTTCCTGAACAAAAATGAGCACTGAGGAAAGAGCTACACTGTAGCTCAAGCCCAGAGCCCTCGGTCCCCAGGAGTCCTGCTATCACACACGTGTGAACATGAACAAAGTCAACCCACAGGCCCTCCGGAGCTGCTGGGAACTGGTTCCAAATGAAGCTTCAGTGTTTCCATGGCAAACACACAYAGCAAAGGCAACAAAACAGACCATCAACCTGGTCCAAGGTCTTGTAAAACACTTATATCTGCTCTCATCATCTCTGTATCTAGCAATTTCCTGAAAATAGAAAGCATTTGTTTTCTTAAATGATGCAACTTGCCAATCAAAAGAGATGATCCTTAGGCCATTAAACTGAGCTCCATTAGAACGCACATGCTTTTATAGACCATCGCCATCTCAAAACAGCATAAATGGGGCTCTGGACAAGCATAAAAGCCCTTTATCTGAAAGTGCAGATCTCCAAAGYCAAAGCAAATGATTACTAACAGTACCTGAACCTATCAGGAGAGGAGAGAAGCTAAGACTGTCCAGTTTAACTTCYGGCTTTGCCAGTTTCTAGCTTCTGCCTCAGTTTCTTCATCTATCACATGAGGAAATTAATAATACCTTCCTTAGAGGTTTCGGCAGAGATTAAATAAGATGATGCATAYACAATACTTAGGAGAGTGCTTAGCACATAGTAAGTCCTCAATAAATATATGCTACTAGTGTAACTGTTATTATTGTTGGTGATTCTAGATTTCTACAAAAGGCATATCTATCCCTTTCTACAAAGAAACCTCTGGGGTAGATCATTCTTTTCTTCAAAATGAGCACATTTGTGGGACTAATACCGGATTTAAGCAGTAAATTTTCAACCAAGCCAAAGCAATTCAGAGGGAGAATTTGCCAGGTTTGCCTGGGGTAGAGTGGCCCTAAAATGTTCCCTTGGGCCCAAAGTTTATTACAGAACATCTATCAGAATCTTACTGAGTATACTCCAAAGCACAGGGCTGTCCAATCTCCATCCACCCACTTGCAACCTTAGAAGCTTCTCAACTCCATGCTCCAGGCAGCCACCACCAGTCAGCTGAGGTTGGCAAAGGGAAAAATAAAACCTATTTGCCACGCACAGTGTAGGTCTCTCCCACTTCCAAAAAAGGGGGGGGGGAATACAATCCTTTAAAATGGTGTTACTGGAAGACAGATGATAACCTCTGCCTAATAGCCAAATGTCACTGTTTGGAAATTTTACCTCTATACAGTCTCATGGGGTAAACTGTGGGAGAACAAACCATTATCATAGTCAAAGTATATCTAAAATTGGAGAAATACTGAAGTGGRGGAGGGAGTTTAGTGTTTTAAATCTTCCTGAATAATGCCAGGGTACCACTGTCTACAGAAGAGCACTAACTCATTACACAGTAGATTAATAGTAGGAAAAGCTAGCAGGTGGATATGTAGAAATAATAACAATCCCTTTGGCTTTGGGGTGTTTCTAGGCTAGCATGTTTARGGAGACCTATCCATGGCTGTGAGCWAGCTCTTTCATGCCCATCCRTATGCCGTGTACTTATTTTCATTTACTATATAYGCTATGACCCAAAAAAGTTTGGGAACCACTGATTTAAGAAATGAATACATTTTCCAAAGTCCCTTCATTTGTAGTGGTGGCAAAGCTTAGTAAGCTTTGGAGGATTGTCTGCATTTTCATGTCCTATTATACTTCTTGATCATGGGTACTAATGCTGATATGTTCTAGAAAAACAAGATATACATTCTTGATCTGAATGAGAACTCAGTCCTATAGCCTAAGCTCAATTATGGTTAGCCTGCTTTGTTTGCAAGGGACACAGTTGCATTAAGGGGAACACAAAKAGTGAGAGCTTTTCACAAAGTCCATCAAGGACTTTGCAGGAATGACGCAGGACTCCTATAGGAATGAAGACTTAAGTGATCTCAGCCACAAGAGACTGTGGATTTCCAATCCCATACTCCCCTAATAACATTACTTGATAATACTTTTTGTTTATCTTCGGAGGATTGTCTGCATTTTCTACCAGTTAACTACCAGTTGGCTTCTGCATTCTCTGCTCTTTATCTTTTCCACCAGTTCTTTGCTTCATCCTGTTTTTAGGTTCAGATTCTCATAAATTCAACCTTCTCATAATTCCAGCTGGTTCCTACTTTACCTTGTTTGTCAATCTCTTCCCCCTTTTTCTCCATTCTTTCTGATCTCTTACATCTTTTACTGTCAATTCCTGCTGCAAACTCCCTTGCTGTATATAACCCAGTTCATACTCTTGAGAAGAAGAACCTGGGTGGTCCTACAAGTCCCTGTCTGGTTAGAACCTCAGGCCTCTCAGGCCACTCATCCACCTGTTTTGATTGATCTTGGGTCAAATGCCTACTTGGCTGAAAGGGGTTAGTCACAAAACATGTAACCTTTAATAGATAGGTAGAATGATTTTCTTTTGACAATCTCTAGAGTAAGCTCCCTCAAGGGAACAAGGTTTTACATTTCCACTTCTCAAAAAAAGACCATTTAAATGTATTCATTGTATCATAGATATATTTTTTTGTTAACTTCTTCAATTTCCTCTTCTCTCTTTTCTTCTTTCCATCCATCCATCCATCCATCCATCCATCCATCCATCCATCCACCCACCCTCCCAAGAAATACATATTGAATCCCTTTGTCTCCAAAAGGAATGCATGAGGTCTTCAATGACAATAATGTTTCTCCAGGACTAAGAGCCTACTGGGTAAGAGAAGTTGTCCATGCAAATAATTTTAAGTTCCCTGAGAATGACATAAACAAAATCCTCTAGAAGTTCAAAGGAGGAAGATATTGCTGTTTATTGGAACAAATTTCAGCTGGGCCTTGAAAAATGGACAAGATTTTGATATTCATTCCAGACACAACTAAAACATGAGACTGATCTTAAAAGTTAGTAGGMTTTTGTAATATCATCAATTTTCAACATTTTAAGTTGTAGAATAAATGCATGATAATTTWAAAAATTCAAACCAAACTGAAAATATAYAGGATAACATCACTTTACTTACTTTTCCATGAATTTCCCTCTGCAAACATAACTGATATTAACTGTTTTCTATGAATTGTCCAGACATTTTTCCATACCATTTATAATTATTTGATGATGTAGATATTATTAAATCAACTTTATAATGAAACAGGGTGAAAATCTGACTCCAAATAATASAGCCTAGTAAGTGAAGGAATTAAGAATTCAAATGAGTCCTACTTTTTAAAAGGATTTGAAYGTTTCCATTACATCTGGTGGATTGGTGCTAGTAGCTTAAACAGGTATCAAATGACTCAGTTCAGTCTTATGAATAGCTCTTGTGTAGACAGGGTATTTTCATCTAGATCTGGAAGCAAGTCAGAGGTGGGCACTTGTACGTTAGTTACTTCCACCAGAAAGTCTTTTACATACTGAGATGGGTGTTCATTATAGTATAGTATACCTTTTGGTATACTATAACCTTAATTTTTGTCTCCATCAGAAGGTGAATTCTATCCTAAGAGAATAATGATGAAATTGTTGAAGGTTTAAGAGAAGAAAAATCAGACATGTTTCTCCTCTACAAAAGTGCTTTAAAAGTTAAGCCACTGAATTATTGACCATTTTATTGCTAATAGAAAAGTCAACCAAATCTATTTAAGCCTCTTTCTTTCACATCCCAAACGAGACTTCTAAAGGAACATATCAGAGACTATATGGGGGAAACTCAAACTATATGCAGTTGTAGAATACTTACCCCAGACTGCCATGAAAACAGCAAAGAAGACAGTGGCTCCATTGTCAAAAAGGTGGGTCACCTGGAAATGACAGAATCAGAGTTAGGCTGAATTCTCATGTCTGATATGGAAATCTGCACTTTTTTTCAAGTTATATAAAAATAGTTATGATGAGTTTAGCAGGGGTTTTTCAGTGGATATTTCCTTTGGACCATAAAAAAGAAAGGGGTTCCTTTAAAACTGAAATGGTTCTGATATGGAAGAGAGAATTTGTTCCTTTATGTGGGRAATCATGTAGTTGAACATATATCAGCAGCCCCAATGGTACTACTAAGAATTCCCTTTTGTGCACTACAAAAACTCTTATACATGCATATGAATATGAATATAGCTATATTTAGGACTAGGAAGGTATTGCTATTGCTGGTTTAAAGGTTTCCAGCTCCCCAAGCTCTGTTTTAATGCTTCATTTATTCACTTCAAAAACATGGCTATTTTGTTTGTGTAGTTTTGAGCAAATTTTTTTCTGGGTTTCTCTGTGGATTTCAGCATTATAAAAGCAAGAGACCAGAAACATTAACAAAATCCATTTCCACCCTTATTAAAGCCTCCAGTAATCACTATATTTACCTACTGCACACAACACAAAGACAGTYAGCAATACTTTATCGCTAGAATAATATAGTCTACTGCAAACACCACAGCAGAAAAGCAAAAAATATCTATTCTTACTGCGTAACTGCCAAGCTCATTTCTGCCTCCAGTATAAATCACACCAATGTCCATGCCAAATTGAAATGATAACTGATGGGTTCATAAAGCATAGCCTTTTAAAAAATATTTTATAGTTCCCTATAAAGTATACTGTACTGTCCCTTGGAGAATGTGCCAAGTATTAGCAGGTCTTTTCATGTTTTCAGAGCATAAARTATTTCATATTATACCAAAAGTTTAAACTTTCTCTTTCTTTGAACACAGGAGAGATAGGAAGCATCCAAACACCTAACGTGAGAAAAACATCTAAAGCCCATGTATTTCATATTCCAGAGGGATATGCCTGAAAGTTCTGGTGGCACATAGTTGGTTTATGCTCTCTATCTGATAAGTTCGTAGAAGTAGTAACTTGTACCATTATTATAGGTTCTGGAATGAATTGTAGCTGTCATTGGTTTTGGCTGCCCTGATCATTTTGCCTCTATTCTCCTTTCTCCAGGTAACAGATCTCTCTCATACTGGTCCCAAAAGGCATGTGGCTCAAAATAGAACCAATCGGAATACTTCCCCAGGACAGAGATGCAAACATTTGGAGGAGACAATTTTCTGCTTGTGTTATTAATTTGGTAGTAAGCAAATCAGACTGGGTGAGGTATTAACAGGGGCTTCTGTTTCCTAGTAAAATGGTAAGCTAGCTATGCTGATGCTACCCTCTGCCAAAATAGACCACAGAAAAGCAGGATAGTAGATTACAGATGCTAAAAAAGAAAACAAAGACCCAGGGAAGACAAAAAGTTGCCTTGGAAGGATGTTGTGTGTGCGTGATGGTGGTGACGTTGAGGGCAGTAGGTGGCAGAGTGAGAGCACAGGTTAGAAAAAATATGTATATTATGGTCTTGCCTCCAAGTGGTCCTTGGACAGTTAGTTTTCCCTCCCTCAGATAAGTTACAATAAACCAAACCTCCTGCTTGGCTGGGGCATTGGGAAAGTAGGTGCTGCCTGGTCAGCTGTCCATTCTCTCTTAAAACCCAAGGATGGTGGATCACAGTCAACCAAGGGAAAGTGCTTATCCCAATTCTTCTTACATTTAAACAGGTTTTAAAATGAAACTGACCAGAAATGTCCTTTGGTAGAGAAGCAGYACACAGTGGTACCTGGGCCACACTGTCCTCTCTATAACTCACCAGGACCCACAGACAAGGGCTTGGACTTTGGCCTTCAAAGTATTTACTGTTCTAGAGGTATTGGCCCACAGGCCAAAATAACAGAATATTTGGGGAAGACAATTGCCCCCCCAAAAAATTCTCAACTAGGCAATATACACTTTCTGAAATAGCATACACTCTATAACAACAGATTGAGGATTTAAAACAGCCACAAAAAATAAGCACAAAAAATATGCTTAAKGACATAAAAGAAGAAACCTAGAGTCACAGCAGTCAGCTGTGTGAAGAGAACTCATCCACAGAATGATCATATGCAYGGGTGGGCAGAGAGAGACCCCTGGGACCTGGGTGGGACCCCTGGGACCCCTGTGTTCATAAAAAGCTGCAAACATCTTCTTGTTCTATCCAGTATTCATGTGCACCTGAAGTCCCATCAAACCACTCAGACATTTCTCTTTTWAAAATATTYTTAGTTATACATGGACACAATATCTTTATTTTGTTTATTTATTTTTATGTGGTGCTGAGGATCGAACCCAGTGCCTCACATGTACAAGACAAGTGCTCTGCCACTGAGCCACAACCCCAGCCCCACTCTGACATTTCTAATAATATCTTTTTATACCTGGGATAGAAGTACATCTCCAACAACAACCCTCCCCTCCCCTTTATTTATTTATTTATTTTTTGGAGAGAGGATCTTGTTTAATTGCAAGAGCCTCACTRGGTTGCTATGTCTATCCTCAAATGGCAATCCTCCTGGCTCAGTCTCCTGAGTCACGGGGATTAYAGGYYTGCGCCACCACGTCAGGCTGTAATAAAATGTTTCTAAAGGAAACTTTGGGCATCTCAATTCTGTCATTCTTCATTTTGTTATGTTTCAAGGCCAAGAACACATGTTAGATTCAGAACCTAAACATCTTACAGCTCAGTGAGGCACAGAGGTCAAGAAGATATGCTTTCTGGTCTGATAAACCAAGGCCTGACTACTTAATGTGGTATGCCCAYGGATGAATAGTTTTTACCTCTCTGGGTCTCTGCGTAAAATGGGGATAATAATAAKTACCTTGAAGTTCCTATGAGAATTAGAAATAATAAATGTGGGTTACCTAGTTATTATTATAACTATAGACTGTTGTTAAAATTATTATTGTTCTAGATAATTTGTTAGGTAGAGTAACTGCTAATAGAAGCCCCTATATAATTTAAGTACTCTAAACTATTCATGATGGTCCCTTTAAAGAATTATTAATGTTTTCTCCTAAAGAGAACTTCACCCAAGCATAACTTTACATTAAATAAATAATAAATAAATAAATAAATAATAAAATCCTAAACCAAAGAAACTCAGCTTCTGTTTCTGAGATTTCCCCAAAGCAGAATTTTAAAACCTGAGTCATTCAGGGTTATCTCATGACCTTTAAATAAAACTCCATTACTGAAAGAACTTCTGATCCTCACCAAATCTCTATTTTCCAAGGTTACTCTGTTAAATTTGTTCTCATATACCAAAGATAGGAAAGTGTCTTGTGCTTTTCTGGTTCCTAGTGACACATACTAAAAGCCTAAATCTTTCTAAAATCACAGCTGACTTCTGTGGTTCCCTGAACCACAGGGACCAGCCACCTGCAGTGCTAAAGACATCCTGGATGGGCGGGATCTGGGCTCCCTTCAAATGTTCTCATTTAAAAGGAACAAAAATGTACAAGACCAACAGAGTAATTAGATAGATCCAGGCTGCAGTAATTGCAGAGGTTCAATAAAATCTGCCAACTCTTTTATATCTGGAATTTGGGCAARTCCATATGCAGTGATTCTTGGAAAAAGAGTTCATTAACCCAAACTCCAGCTAATTTTTTTTTCCATTAGTGACATTGCCCCTAGGTAAAAAGACTCTTGGGATTAGATAAATGTGTCCAATAATAAAGTAAGGCATAGCCTGAGAAAGGGACATAACAAAAATCTGATGGAAATAATGGTGCCATGTTTTTTTTTTCCAAAGCACTTTCACATACACTGTCTTCTTCAGTCATGACATGCCAATGGAGTGGAAAGAAGATATGTATTACTTGCATTTTATACATGAGAAAACTCAGTTTCAGAAAAGCTGTATATGTACAAGGTCAATGAGGTAAGCAGCTGAGCCGGCTGTGAATCACAGTCTTGTTCACTATAATGATGAGAAAGAGGGAGAAATGATGGCAGCTATTACTTACTGACATTATGCTCAGTATATATTTTACCTCACTTCTTAAAACAAACATGTGAAACAAACCTGATGTTCTTCATTTTATAGATGAGAGAGCTCAGCTTCAGGGAGGTTAAATAACTTGTTCCCAGATAAGTAGCAGAGAGCAGTTAAAAAATCCAAACCTATATATGTCATGTGTCCCTGTGGAGAGCAGGCTGAGCCCTCCCTGAGTTATTCCATGATGTATAGAACAGTTTTTAGGCTGTGTGTAGACCTTTGTGACTCCATTTTGTAAAGCAGTAGTTTGCCATACGCTACTCCATTCTGAGTTTAAGTGCTGAGCTGGGATAATTCCACACTTCGTTTGTACAAGTAAACAACCACCATCTGCCTGGCACAACCATAAGGCATAAACTAATCAATCAATCAATCATGCTATTAAGAATGACCCCCTGTGAATTTATCAAATTAGTCAGGAGCACACAATTGCATGGGTATAGCATATCAAACTCACATTGGAAAAAACCAGTCCCACAAGCTTATTGAATATACCAGACCACCAAATGATGCAATCCCCTCACTTGAAACCCATAAAAGGAGGGACACCCCAAGACTGGATAAGGCAGCATCCTGACCCATCACCTGGCCTCTGGTCACAAGTCTTGCCTAGAAAAATTGATATAGCAATGAACCTCCATCTCTGTCCTTGGGCCTTAGTAGAGAGTGGTTTCTCCTGCCTGTGATGACTACACATGGCGCACTCCAAGCTGACACTGCTGTTCATCTGGACCTTGGCCTAGAATAAGTTCTTGCACTTTGACAGYTCTGCACCCTGAACAAGTTCTTTGGSTAGTTCCTAATCTTATCTGACCATCTACGGTGACTCTTCACATTTGCATCTCTCTCTCTGCCTTTGCTTAGTTCATCCTCCTGAATCCCTATGGTACCTTTAATCCTTTCTTAGCCTTTCTTTTATATGTATATAGATAGATATTATATATATATATATATATATGTTTATATATATACATATATATTAAATATACACATATATTTGTGTAAAGTGTAGTGTGTGACTTGAGTGTTAATAGATATTAGAAATTAAAATTGGAGTAAAAGAACCTGTGATTGTCCAGCTTATGAYTACCAGGTGAGTCTCACAAGTATTCAGTGAACTGCCACTGATGAAAATGGTGTAGCTTGTGAATTTMTTATTCAATAAATTCTGACATTGTAGAAAGACACAAATGTGTTTGGTCTATGTTAATGAAAAGACTTGCTCATGACAGTCTCCAATAATAACACAAGAATACCCAGGGTCCTGGATTAGTAGAGGAATACTTAGAGCATGGGTTTTAGTCATTTTTCCTGTCATGGATCCCTTTGGCAGTCTGGTGAAACCTGTACACACCTTATCAGAATAATATTTTTAAATGTAAAAAGAAGTAGACAGGATTACAAGGGCAAAACAACACAAAACACACCAATTCTCTCAGAATATACAATATTATGAGAGACCTATATCATTGCTCAATGTGTCATCAACAATACAAATAAGTTACTTTAAATAACAACAAAAATTTGAACTTTTCTCTTTGCACTGTGTCATGCTTTAGCTTCTTGAGATGATACCTAGAAACCTATCTTTTAAATACATGTTATTATGGTTTGAATATGACGTATCACCTACAAAGTTCATGTTAGACGATGCAGGAATATGCAGAGGTGAAACAATAAATTATCAGAGCTGTAACCTCATCAGTGGACTAACCCATTGGCTGGATTAACAATTTGAATGGATTACTATGTGTAACTGCAGACAGGTAGAGCATGGCTGGAGGAGGTAGATCACGGGGGGGGGGTATGCCCCTGGAGATAATGTATCTTGTCCCTAGAATCTGCTCCCTTCCCCATTTCTGGCTGCCATTAGCTGAAAAATATTCTTCCACTATGCCCTTCCCCATGATTTTCTGCCTTACCTCAATCCCAGAGCAATGGAGTTGGCCAACCATGGAATGAACCTGAGACACTGTGAACCACAATAAACTTTTCCTTCTCTAAGTTGYTCTTGTTAGGTATTTTGGTCACAGTGGCCAAGAGCTGACTAATACATATGTCCATTTAAAAAGATGTTTGCATTAGACTACTGAATGATGGCGATAAGTGTATCCTACAACATTAGCTTGCATATGAAAGACTGGAAATGACAGAGAATATAGTTACTCACGGTCCCTCAGGGAGGTGTATGTCAAATTCAATCCACCTAATATGCTGCCTGTTTGGATTTACCTTGGCATAAACACAGCTGTCAGACAGCCTCATGAATGGACAGTATTTATCACACACAGGACACATGATGATATCTGTAGCTTGGCAGACTTCTTTACTGGAAAAGAAAACAGAAAAAGACTGCTTTTTGATGACATGGACCATCRTTTTTCTCCTGCAACTTCATTAAAATGTTCAACTGATAAAATTCAGTAGATTAAATTTTTGCTCTTGGAAACTTCTTTGTCTTTTCTGTTTTAATATAAATAAGTTCCTATACAGTTTAATAGTTTGATAAAGCTACTTATTTATGAAGCTGTTTCTTGGCTTTACATATTAATGTTACACTTGGGAAAATATATGAAACAAAACATCGGTGGTCATACCCCAAATTATTTAAAAGTTCTTCACAAAATTTCTTAGGTCTGAAGTAATTTCATAATGAATTATGGAAGCAACAAGATACCTAAAAATGCYTAATTTAAACTCTGTGTGCATGACAAAACTAAAAATGGAGGACTAAATAAAAATAACTTGGGACCTTAATCCTGGGAGAAAATTATATCTCATTAACAATTTCAGTAAGTAAAATATTTCAATAGGGAGGAGACTCAATCACTCACTTTTATTTTTGTGATCACTTTAAAAAGTTACATATATTATTTAAGGTCACCATCCAGCTTTGCAATAAGATTTTTGTAAATATCTTAAACTATATTCTGGTGAGAGAACCAAGGAAACAATGATTGACTGTGAACCATTCCCAGGACACTGGTAAGTTGGTGAGCTGTATTTGTGATCTAGGTATTTAAATGGTCCTTATAAAAATCAGAATTCATGAAAAAGGACTGTAAGGCCATTATTTGAAGTAGGTATTAGTTTTAGGAAAGGTAAAAGAAGGAAGAGAGCAGTTTTTAGCCAGTGAATGAAAGTGATTTGCTCCAGGTGTATGTATGTCTATAAAGGCAACTTTCGCTTCCATAATAGCTGAAGCACGKAGCAGCAAGAACAATGGGTGGAGACAAGTAGTGAATTGAGCCTTTTGAGGTTTTCCATCAGAGATTGGGAAGGAAGTTGGAATGAAAAGCTGTGTTTCCAGTCTGAGAATACCCCAAAGCATAAGGAACCATTTTTTTTATTAAATGTTCAAAACATTACAAAGCTCTTGACATATCATATTTCATATATTAGATTCAAGTGGGTTATGAACTCCCAGTTTTACCCCAAATACTGATTGCAGAATCACATCGGTTACACATCCACATTTTTACATAATGCCCTATTAGTAACTGTTGTATTCTGCTACCTTTCCTATCCCCTACTATCCCCCTCCCCTCCCCTCCCATCTTCTCTCTCTACCCCATCTACTGTAATTCATTTCTCTCCTTGTTTATTTTCCCATTCCCCTCACAACCTCTTATATGTAATTTTGTATAACAATGAGGGTCTCCCTCCATTTCCATGCAATTTCCCTTTTCCCTCCCTTTCCCTCCCACCTCATGTCTCTGTTTAATGTTAATCTTTTCTTCCTGCTCTTCCTCCCTGCTCTGTTCTTAGTTGCTCTCATTAAAATACTCTGCAAAGGCAGGCCCACCCGAGAGCTCCCCGTACCTGACTTGGCAGTGATCCAGGGTGGTGACTCCATACAGAAAGACGAACAATCCGATGAAGGCAGCTGGGAAGAGCATGCCGGTATACCAGCCCAACCAGGCAAAGTACAGCCCGATCTTCTCTCCAAAGTACCGCCTGTGTGAGGCACGACAGACTTAGAAATTACAGTCAAGTGTGGGAAGTTCAGCCCTCGAACACTTTGTTCAGTCATTTTACACTGTAKTGGCTGGCCTTCCTGATAAAACTCGGAGAAGGTAAGCGAAGAGAAGGGAACATTTGATCCAATCTAGGCTTGGGGTTTAATTTCTTCTCCTTTTACTTTATATCAGAAAGAGAATTGGCCCTTCCATCCAAGAGTGGGATTATACACAAGCATGTTCTGAGAACACAGATTGGATTGGAAGGGGCCAGAGTAGGAAAAGGGAGGCAAAGTAGGGGACACCTGTTATAATAGGTAATAGATGGAGATAAAGGGAAAAGCAGAAGACATGCAGGGATGCTAGGGGGTGGTTAGGCTCAAGAGGTCTGGAGCAAATATGAGCTACTGGACAAGAAGTATTTAAGAGATTAGATTCCTGAGACACTCCACAAATCCGTCTACTCATTCCTCTTGTTTCTGCYGACATAAATCCTGCTGCTCTTCCAGGACTCAGTTCTCAGGGTCAGGGGTGCTGACCCGCATCCATCCCTTCCATTTTTCTGAGTAGTAAAACTTAGAGCCTTCCTGACACACGTTACCTCCCTCATTGTGGATGGTCTGGTATTTTTCTAATTATCTCCAGAGTGCAGGGCCCGTTTGCCTGGAGGAAAATGAGTTTCTCAACACTAGAGACCATTTATCTTTGTCAACGGTACTTAGCACAGTATTAGAAATAAAATGAACAGCTAATTAATACTCATTGAGTCACTGTAAAATCTTGATCAAAACACTGTCACGGGTGGAGATAGTTTGCCCGAAGTAATGATCTTAATTTCCAATCAATCTAATTCTGTAACATGGGACTGAGGTTGGGAAGAGAATTTTTTTTCCCCCTTTCTCACTATTCTTCTTCATGCATTGAGTCTGGTCAAAGGAAAATTATCTCATCTCAGAAAATATTTTCAACTCATCCAAGTCATCTGGATCATTTGCTACCAACACAAAGAATAGTACATAATTCGTCAATGTCCTTGGAGCATCAGGAATAAGCACTTGGCAACAAGGTAAMGGGGGCTCTCTTAGGAAGAACAATTACTCAGGGGTTGAAATAGTTCTCTTTTTGTTTTTCCCCCAGAGCTCACTTTTTAGGGCCCCAGTGTAAGTGAAACACATCCAGCTAGTCTAGGAAATGAGACATGATGCTCTCATTAATGAGGAATCCATGAAGTGAGGATGGTCATTAGTCAACCTTAATAACCAGTCTCTACATAAACAATGAGATGTCAGAGAATAGGGCTGTTATGGCAGAAGGTTGGGCAGATATGATTTTTAAAAACATACATTTTCACTTCACCATTATCATATATTAAAAGCTGATATACTTTCTGACCCGTAATTAAAGCAAATTTTAAATGCTGGTAGCTTTCAATTAAAATTAAAATAAGGCTGAAGTGTATTGGAATGTGCTATTTACATGGTAAAAGTTGAGTATCCCTTATCTAAAATGCTTTGGATCAACAGTGTTTCATATTTTGGGTTTTTTTAAATTTTGGAATGTTTACAAATATATAAGTTAATTTGAAGACAGTACCCAAGTGTAACATGAAATTCCTTTGTTTCATACACACCTCATAAACATAGTCTGAGGGTAATTTTGTGCAATATTTTTTTGTATGCCTACATTTTTTGGTGGTAGGTACCAGAGATTGATCTCAGGGACACTGAACCACTGAGCCACATCCCCAGATCTATTTTGAATTTTATTTAGAGACAGGGTCTCACTGAGTTGCTTAGCACCTTGCTATTGCTGAGGCTGGCTTTGAACTCATGATCCTCCTGACCAGCCTCCCTAGCTACTGGGATCACAGGCATATGCCACCGCACCCTGCTCCTATGCCTACGTCTTGACTGTGATGCATCCCATGAGATCAGGTGTGGGATTTTCCACTTGTGGCATCATGTTAGTGCTCAAAGAATTTTGGATTATGGACCATTTTGGATTTTTCGATTTTTATATTAGGGATACTCAACAATATTCCATTTTGTGATTAATACATGTAAGCAGTATTACCTCTCTATAGAATGATTTGTCAATGGCAGTCACAAGGGTAACCTGCTCCTCAAGTGGTCTCCCAGGGAGCCTTGCCCATCTCCTATGCCCTTCCTGGGCCCCAACCTTGTCAGAGGGAAAGTCAGTTTACCCAGAAAACCAGTGTCCTCTGACAAACTACCCTCAGGGAAGAAGTGGAATTACAGCAAGAACTCTGCACTTCGGAACCTTTTTCCCCTCCGTGATGTGATGGCTCATCTTTCAGTGAAGACTTTCTCTCTGCAGCTGGTTAAAAACTCACCTGACAAGATCCAAAGGCTGGTATTTATACCACACGCCCCAGGAAGCCCAGCACTCATAGAGTAGATGCCGGTGGTTCACAGCTCCATGGGTTCGAATGGAGTTCTTACTTCTGTAACTTCCCTGGGATAAAAGCACCATTGCCAATGAGGGGATATCCACACAGCCACAAGGAAACGCTGAGGGTAACATTAGCAGGAGTAGCAACGGGGTGAGAAGAAGGAAAAAGCAGCCCTCTCTGTTAAAAGGTACATAGTTGGGTTAATCTGGAAGTCTTCTTGCTGATAATGCCATCTGGTAAACATCAGGCAGGTTTGAACTGAGTTCGGATTCAGTCCCACTGCTCTTTATGTAGGAGATCGTGGACGAGCCCCCTAAATACTCTGAGTCCTGATTTCCCAATGTCATAGAACTGCCCAAGCGTGGTTAGATCTCTTCCCTGTTTCACTCAAGGTAGGGTCATTGGTACCAACAGCCATAGCCACAGCCTTTTCACAGCCTGATCAACAGGAAAATCCTGGAATGTGAAAGCTGGAAGCCACCTTGGGATTCTAATCATTCGAATCAAATTCAACCTCCTCATTCAACAGATGAGGGAACCCAGGGCCAGAGAGGTGGTTGTTTTTCTGAGGTCAGTTCATGGCAATGGTAGTTTGACCAACAGAAAATAAACCTTCGGAGGCAAATGAATTATTCACATCAGCCTGAGAATCCCATTCTTAATGGAAAGAATAAAGAGGTGGGAATAAAGGAAGGTGGGTGTGTCTCACTCAGTTCAACCACCAACTCACTATGTGACTCCAAGGAGGGTGAACTTTTCTCTCAAACTCTATTTAAATTTGTAACATGGAACAAGGGCAACAATACCTGTCCTTCCTGCCTATGAAGGTGGTTGTGAGGCCGAATAATATAAATGAATTAAACTGAGAGCAAAAAGTTAAAAAGGGAGCTGGGCGCGCTGGTGCACACCTGTAATCCCAGCAGCTTGAGAGGCTGAGACAGGAGGATCACAAGTTCAAAGCCAGCCTCAGCAAAAGTGAGGCACTAAGCAGTTCAGTGAGACCCTGTCTCTAAATAAAATGCAAAACAGGGCTGGGGATGTGGCTCAGTGGTCAAGTGTCCCTTAGTTCAATCCCTGGTTACCCTCCACCCAAAAAATTTAAAACAGTAATGGTACTATTATTGTGGTTGTTATTACTAATWTGGAAATTTTCTTTTCATAGAATGTAGGGCTTTACTCTGTAGAGACTCCCACAAATTACTCTGTAGGTTTTTTGTAGCTGCCTCTGCTCGGATATCCTCATGCCAGGCTATCTACTCCCCKGCCATTGTACATCTGCCCACCATTACTTGGATATATACCAGGGGTCAGGGCTTGGAGTGGGGAGAATGTGGTACCCATAGAAATATTCTCTAGGCAAAGCCAGCCTATAACTACAGGAAGCTACACAGAAACTTTTGGGAAAAAAATCTGTCTTCAGAGTTCAGAAATACATGCCTGTGGCCTCTGTAAACCTTTGTGTCAAAATGATTGCTTTGGTCAACCTAAAAGAAGAATTTAAAAAAGTGTCTCTCAGTCATCTGCAAATAGCATTTAAGACCACAGCTTCTAGTTTTCTTAATAAWTATGGTTCTAAAAATTCTACCTCACCTTTGACATCCTCTTAGTGTTCAAAATCAAGAGAAAAAAATTGTAAGCCAAACAAAAAGTACATTTTGGGAAGACTTGCCATTTATGGAGAGGTGGAATTGTCCTCCAAAGTTTATTGGCAAACAGTTTAAACCTGGTTAATTTGTTTGCACAGAATTGGGGCTAGGACATTTGTCTTGTAGTCTCTGTGTCCTATAGTGATGGTACATGGTAGAGCTTAACACTGTGAAAATGAYAATAACCTCTCAATAATCATGAGAGAACTCAGGTATTGAATTCTGGGTTAGATAATCCAAGATCTACTGGAAAACCAAATTAAGCATGATCACCATTATGCTTATCAAAGTCATTATGTATCACAAAGACCAGGAAGTAAATAAGGAAAATGTCAACATCTATACATATCTTATAATGATGAATACAATACTATTAATTTCCTTTATCACCCTTTGTTTATTGGAAACKTTGCAAAATGACTTCCTACCACTCTTTCAAAGAATACCTACAAATTTATTTATTGAAAAGACTATCTATTTCAAAAACATTCCCCTCTCTGTCTGGTGCCTCATGCAAATTTTCAACAACTTTTAAATTGCATGATTTACAGTCCCTAAGTCGTTCCTCTGAATTCATGCTGAGTGACTCTTAAGTGTTCTTTCAATTATAGAAAAAGACATAGAGAAATAAATCTATGCTGAGGGAGAGATAAAAAGAATGCAGATAGACCCTCCCYGATTACCCATTAAACAAATCAAATTCATTCTGAGCAAATATCTACAGTTCTGAACCACAGCCACAAACTCAATTGATGACTGTCCCTAGAAGCCAGTTTTAGTAACAAGTTAAAAGGAAGAAGAAAATGCAGCACAATACCTCATGCAGGGGAAAAGCAGCTTCATAGGAGCCATTGGTAAGCAAGCGATTCAGACCTAAAGCAACAAATAAGCCCATTCCAGTTAATAGTGAGTTTAGATCCTCACGATTCTCAAGACTACCAAGATCAGTACTTTCTGGGGGTGGGGGGGGGAGAATCTAGGCTTTAAAAAAATTCAAACCTACTTGGGGTGACCAACAGTTTAAAAAGAAAATTTTGCAATCTGCTAGRTAATTGGGATCAATTGCTGGGAAATCTGTTTGTTTTAAATATTGAGTTGTCAAGAATGAATAGATTCAAAGTGTACAGTGTGATAATTTGATATACATAATACACTATCATGATTACAAYAATCTAATTAATGAATATATCCATCACCACCTATGCTGTACCTTAGGTCCCAGAAATTATTCATTTTATAAGTGAAACTTTGTACCCTTTGACCAACATCTTCCTATTTCCTCTTTTCTATTCTGCTTCCAARAGTTTGACTTGTTTAGATTCCAATAAGTAAAATCATGCAGTATTTGTCTTTCTGTGTTTGGCTTATTTCACCCAGCAAAATATCCTCCAAGTTCATCCATGCTGTCAGAATGGCAGGATTTTTTTTTCTTTTTATGGCTGAAGAACATTCCATTGTGTATATGTACAATTTCTTTATCCACTCATCTGCCCATAGACATGTAGGTTGTTTCTGTATCTTGGCTATCATGAGTAATGCTGAATAAACACAGGGGTGCACATACCTCTTCAACATACTGATTTCACTTTCTCTGGATGTGTACCCAGAAGTGGAATTGCTGGGTCATATAGTAATTCTATTTTAAATTGTTTGAGAAACCTCCATACTGTTTCCACAAGGACTATACCAATTTCCATTTCTATCAGCAGTGTATGGGAGATTTCTTTTCTCCACATTCTCACCATATTTAACTCTTTATCTTTTTGATAACAGCTTTTCTAATTCYAATGGGTGTGATATGATATCATTGTGGTTTTGATTTGCATTTCTCTGATGATTAGTGATGTTGAGTACCTTTTCATATTCCTATTGGCCATTTGCACATTTTCTCTAGGAAAATGAAAAATGTCTATTTAGGTCCTTTGCTTATTTTAAAATCAGGTTATCTTTTTTTTTTTTTTTGCTATTGCTATCTGTAAGTTTCATACATATTTTGAATATTAACYCTTTATCAGATATATGGTTTGCAAATATTTTTTTCCCATTTTGTAGATTGTCTTTTCAATTTGTTGTTTGTTTCCATTGGTATGTAGAAGMTTTTTGGAAATCAGTTTTCAAACAGAAAAACAATGAAGCACATCTAGTACAGTGCTTGGCATAGAAGGGAATGCACAGAGAGAAGCAGATCAATGTGTCATTTAAAAAAAAAAAAAGAATAATTTTAAGTCAGAAGCTCTTCTGTTTTGACCTAGAAGCTTCATTGTGGAAAAACCTAACTCTTCTGCATTAGACTAGTGGTCCGACTTTGGAAAAATTCCTTTGTCCTCAGGCTTCAATTTTCTCATCCATAAAATAGGAGTGTAGGTAAATACATAGATCTTTTAAAAGAATAGCTTTAATGAGTTATAACAAAGATATGATAAATAGAACACACTTGAAGTGTATAATTAGATATATTCTGGCATATGTACTCACGAGACCATCAATACAACTAAGATGTTCATCAAACTTCCAAAGTTTTATCATGCCACTTAGTAGCCTGCCGTTCTTCCCTACATTGTCTCCATGCAAACATTGATCTGCTTTTTCTCACTATCAATCGTCTGCATTTTCTAGAGTTCCATATAAATGTAGTCAATAAGTATTTGCTATTTTTCATCTGACTTCTTTCACTCTAAATAATTATTTTGGGGTTCATCCATATGGTTATAAATGACTATCAGTAGTTTCTTTCTCTTTATTGCTGTGTAGCTTCCATCATCTGGTATATAACAATTTGTTTATGYGAGTATATAAGAATTTTTTGTATATTTTCCTGATGATGGACATTTGGGGTATTTCTAATGTAGGGCTATTACAAATAGAGCTGCTATTAGTACTCATGTAAAAGTTTGCACGGATGTGTRGCTTCACTTTTTCTTTGAATAAATTCATAGATGTGCAATGGCTAGATCATACAGCAGGTATGTGTTTAGTTTTTTGAGAAAACGCCAACTGTTTTCTTGAGTGTTTGTACAATTTCACATTTTCATTAACAGTGGACGAGGGTTCATGTTCTCCCGCATCCTCATCAACACTTGGGAGTGGTGAGTCCTTTTCATTTCAGCCATTCTAATGTGTGTGTTGCGATTTTCATTGTGGCTTTAATTTGTATTCCCTCATGAATAATGTTGCTAAAAATATTTTCATGTGCTTGTTTGCCACCAACATATCTTCTATGATATGTGTTTAAATCTTATGCCCATTACAAATTTTTTATAACAAGATTTTTTTGAATAGTTGTAGATGGACAGAATGTGTTTATTTTATTTATTTTTATGCGGTGCTACGGATCAAACCCAATGCCTCACATATGGTAGGCAAGTGCTTTGCCACTGAGCTACAGTCTCAAATCTATAACAAGTTTTGAGAGRTTTTGATATATTTTAGATACTGTTAGACATATGCTTTGGAATTTTTTTCCTTAGTGTGTGGCTTCTCTTTTTATTCTCTTAAAAATCTTTCTCTAAAGAACAAACTTTTAATTTTGATGAAGTCCAACTTATCTATTTGTTTATTTTATGATTTGCATCTTTTTAATGAATTGTAATAGATTAACTTTCTTTATCATTATAAAATGAACTTTCTTTATCCCGGGTGATATTCTTTGCTTTGAAATCTACTTTTCTGGCATCAGTATATCCACTTAAGTTTCCTTTTCATTATGGTAACGTACCTTTTCCCATCCCTTTACTTTTAACCTATTTGTCTCTTTATATTTAAGGTGYTCTTCTTGCAGGAAGTAATAACTTAGACTGTGTTTTATTCCATRTATTAATCTCTGGTGTTCGGATTGAGGTCTTTAGACCACTTATCACTGATAGTTTTAGATGTACATACAAGTCTGTGACCACACTGTTTTCTACTTGTTCCATTTGTTCTTTTCTTATTTTATGGGGTTTTTTTTGGTACTACTTATTTTTCATGATTTCATGATGGCTCTTTAGTCATCACTCTCATAGTGGTTGATTTAGAGCTTAGAGCACATCTTTCACTCATCATAGTCTACCTTCAAGTGAAAGTCCCATGRAATTGGAGGCTGCTTTTCTTCCCTTAATAACCTTTAAGCTATTGATAACATATACTTTACTTTGACATATTTTATAAACCTCACATTAYAGTGTTATTATTTTGATTTAAGTGGTTAGTTACCTACTCATGATATTTAAAGCATAAGAATATTTATATATTTTTTCCTGAAGTACATCTTTAACATATAGGAGAAATCTTATAGTGATGAATTCTTTCAGTTTTAATATGTCTGAAAAATTCTTTATTTTACCTCCATTTTGGGGAAGATTTTTTTCACCGGTATAGAATTCTAAGTTGACTTTTTTTTTTTCTCTCAATACTTTAAAGATTTGCTCTATTGTCATCTAATTTGATTAAATTCAAAGTGAGAAATCTGCAATAAAGTTAACCTTTGTGCCCTTGTATGGACATGTCTGCAGATCTTGGAAAACTCTACTTTCTGGAACTTTGTTCTGTGAGCTATARATGCCTGGGGCTCCCGGGACTCTCAGCAACATCTTCTCAASTTGAAATCTCCCCAGCTTTGCCTGGATTCTCCTTCCTTGCCAATCGAAGGGTAGTCAGTTGTGGGGCTCATCCCATTTGTTTTCTGTTTCCAAGGATCCCTGATTTGGGTTTCCTAATGTTCAGTGTCTTGAAACTAACTGCGTCATATAATTTATCTTTTTCCTTTTTTGGTTGTTTCAGGTGGGAGAATAAGTCTCATGCCTGTTCTTTCACCTTGGCCAGAAGTAGAAGTTTAACATGTTGCTCTTTAAAGTTACTTTCAGGTCAAGACTTATGTTACATAAAGCTTTGATTTCCTGGAGCATCTACTGAATATTCTATATATGTCCTTGATACATTTCAAATATCCCAGATGTTAGAAAAAATAGGATCACAGAGACATAATAAGAGACTCTGATGATAAMCTTTATGTTTATCATAACTTATCAAGTCCTGCAAAGTGATAAAGTAGCTCATATTTAAAGTTTACGACTTTACAARCTTCACTTTTAAAAACACACATTTTGAAAATACAAAGACCTTTCAAGATTCATTGTATGCACACATATTGCTCAATGAATCTTTGTTGAGTTATTAATTGCTCTATCTTAAAGTGAGCTTTACCAGGTTTGATTTTCACAGTTGCAATAAATTCAGAGWAAGTTTGAAAAACTTACATAGTGGCAGTTTATACTCCACTAAAACACCCTTATGAATCATGTCTACAAATCAATATTTTTGTGTTATTTCTAATCAATGTTGGCTCATGCAAGATGACAGAAAGTTTCAGGCAGAAAATAACATTGGATAAACATTAATTCTATCAAGAAATTAAATTTTCTTCCAACTTCCAGGTTGTTAATTTGTGAAACCAAAGATGACAACAAAGTAAGTAAATAGACCATTTGTAGTTTTACTCTACATTTTTAATCATAATGCATAATCTTGGCTTAATAATTTATTCTGTGAACGGTTRTATCTAATTAGACATATTTCAATTTCATCCTTATTGAAGTGCTGAAGGTTTTAAAGATAATCCTTCACCTCATTTCATCAAATCATAGAAGCTTTTAGAATCTCTTTACTATACTTCAGTGCTCCTTCAGAACACTGAAAAAACATGGTCTCTGCCCTTCTTTTATCTCCTTTTGTCTAACTGTAAAAACAGCTCCCAATTTGAGATGCAAATATTATTAAACCATAATAATTGCTGTATGGCCTCACAGTACTGTTGGCAATTGTGTAGGATACTCATAAGGAGACAGCAATCATTTAAAAAATATTTTCAGTTCAGTTCAAGAAGCATTTTTTGAATTCTTTCTAGAAGCCAGACACTGTGCTAGGCCATGATAATGAAAAGATGAATAAGGCAGCTTCTTTATAGTTTTGAAGCTTTTTATCTAGACCAGCAGTTTTCAGTAGTAACTTTTCAGCATACTAGTTTGTCACAATGAATTGCAAGGCAGACTGCAAATGCTAAAACCAGTGTTAGTAAGGGGGCTGTCTTTTGAGTTATTTGTGTTTTATGAAGTAATCCAGAATAGCTACTGCCATAATAATTTGACATTCACTCACTTGTTTTCTAGTATATTCATAACTAAAAAAAATAAAGTATGGTAGAAAGGTATACATGCTATCCAAATTTGTTGAAAAAAACTGACAAAGTTAATATTTAAATTACTTAGGATGCAAAATATTGGCAGTGGTTCTTTTTAGGTGGTAAATTTGCATAATGTCATTGAAAGCAATTGTAGACAATAAGAGTTGTATAATATTAAAATCATCAAATAAACACTCCAAAAATAATTGTCATAGGAATTCAGAAGAGGGAAGAATTCCTTTAAGTTAGATGGGCCCAGAAGACTTTATGGAGAGGGTATATTTTAAGAATGAATGAGTTCTGTAGAGAGAATGGGTTGTGTTCAACTACAACACCATCCAAGTTATGAAAGATCTACATTAGGTTTATTTCTCTACATGCACCTGCACCGACTTTCTCTGAATATATATTCCAGGTATATTCGGATCTAGACCAGGTAGCTATCTATTTCTCCCTATTCTATTTTAATTTATGCAGCTTGGGATCAAAGTAGATTTTTTTTGGCAGCTTCATTATTCTAGTGACTCACACTGAGCTTGAATTCAACTCAACTCTCAAATCTGTTCTTCTCATGATRTTGTTGAGAAACATTTCTCCCACACTGTACTGGGGCAGTTATTTTGCTGATCTGAGTGTAGGACTTTACATTTACAAACTGTTAAATGTCATCTTGCTAGATTTGGCCTAGAGTACCAACCTGCTGAGATCACTGAGGTTCCTGACTCCAATGTATATATCCTTCAGCTTTGCCCCATGAGAGCAATAGATTATGTATCAGTTATCAATGTATTGTGCCCTTTAGCTCCAAATGCATCTTGACTGTGTGCTTTGAAGTAATGGAGCTGTCAGCTGGTAATAYCTCTATGTGTTAACTGATGGAGGAAGGAGTTCCTCTTCCTGATACTGGTATCTTTCACCAGGCTTTTGCTGCGCCCATTTTTATAGCACCCATCTCCTGTAGTACGTGGTGACCAGCAGCACATGACACTCCCCAAGGGAGTAGCTCTGTGGGTGGCTTCACAGAGCAGCGTGACTGGAGCAACATATGCCAATGAGCAACTTCCCTTAGACCCATGTAGGCAGCTCCCCCAGTACTCCAGACAGCAGACCCCCAGCAGCTCTCCACCAGACTCCTTTGCCCAGCTGCACCCCTGCCAATAGGGTCTGGATTTCAGCTTCGTCAGAGGAAACTGCTAATCTCTACTATTCTATTCTTCAGCGTTCCCTTGACCAGCCAATCTTTCATGACTCCAATCTCTGGTCATAGTTAGTTATTTATATTAAACTTTCCCTGTCCAGATTATATGTGCTTTTGCTTCTTTATTGAGCCCAGACTGATATAGGTCATTATTAAAAGTATCAGTAAAATCTTTGTTGGGACTAAGCCTCCCAAACCTTTCTAACACACAATTGCCTGTTTAATAAGGCAGGAAATTTGGTAATTTAATATGGGAAGATTCTCATAAAAAATGCCTAAAATATAAATTGTGGAGGCTGTTTCATGGGGAAGGTGATTATTTGGAGAATTAAGTGTGACAACTCCCTCAGCCTGGAACCTTCCATCCTCCCATGCTGCCTCCTTATCACTCRGGTCTCAATTCAGATTTCAGGTCCTCAGGAGGTTTTCCCTGACCACCCAATCTCAATGACCTTGGCCAGTCTATCTCTGCAACCACCCATTTTAATTTCTTCATGTTATTTACTATATTTACCTGTTTGTTGTTTTCTCCCTCTACCTTCTTGGGCAAAATCTCCAGAGTAGAATTGTGCTCATCTCCCTAACTCCTTGCTCAGTGCCTGGCACAAGGTAGGCACTCCATAAAGATTTGTAGAATTGAGAGAAATTCTCCATGATCTTAGATTAATGACATGATGTGCTTTTTAGAGAAGATACATAAGGATGCTAGGAAGATTTTACACTTACGGACAGCTCCTCAAAGTAATGGAGGTTTTATAAATGATAAGCATTTCTAGAAYTGACTCAAAAGTAATGAAATCAAAGGAAGAAAACTAATCCCCAAATCTAAATGTAGTATGTCATACCCCATATGCCACTCACCGATTTTGTTTTTTCCTTCTTCGTACTTTATTCTTTGCAGAATGTGATGTACAATTCTACTTCTTGTGGCATTGTTGAAGAAAGTGTCTTTGTTGTGGATGATGAAGCTGCACACACACATTGAAAACACAAAGCTGAGGATTAATTGGCAGTGAGAGATCTCATGTGTTATCATTGGGTGCTGCTCAGATGGAGGTATCTTGAAGCCATCCTAAATGAACAGCAGGAGAGAGCCCAACAGAGGATGGCGCCAAAGCAGTAGGACCATGAGTCTAAGTAGTTTTGGTTCTCAGAATTCTGAGCAGTAACAGCATTAAGCCAGGAAGGAGCTGGAGATAAATGAAATTATAAAACCTTAAAACGAACTGATAACAAATATAGGTCTTATTTTTTCACTTTTGCTTAGTAAGGTCATGAAATAGATTCAACTAAAGATTTGTTTTGTTTTTATCTCCATGTCCTTTACCCTGCCTCTTCCCATGTTATAATCAGGTGGTTCTCCAGGAATTTTTAGATTTGAAACTGGCTTGAGTGGTGGATATAGAAGTTCGGTAATGAACTCTGGTCTGGCTCAGGGGTGAGGTGAGGGGCCAGTTTTGGGAAATCATCTCTGTCCCTCACTCTCCCATGGTCTCTACTGGAGGGAACCCAGTAGTATAAGCTTAAGCATAAACTTAAGATATGTTTTTTAACATTTAACCAGTGGCCTATCCAGTCTTTATAGCTTTCAAACGGCTCATAGGCCACACATACACACACACACACACACACACACTCATATACACAACACTGGACTGTCTAGTAGGTGTTCCTACCCTACTAGGTAATAGGCAGAGCTTCTAGGGTCATGTAATCTGGCATAAAATGGCCGTGTCTTCTCGTCCCAGAAATGCAGAAATGTAGAAATGTGAAATATGGTAGAATATTAGCAACACTAAGTGTAATTGCATCTTAAAATTTAAAAGTTTATCAGCTTAGTAAACTTTTATTGGGATCCTCCTATACGTCAGACTCCATGAAAACACATACAAATATTAATAACCACCACCCTGGAATCCAGCTTTGAGATCATCTCCTCTAGCTTTCCACCGCTCCAACTGTTTCCTGAGCCTCACAGAATGCAGCGTTCCTTCCTCTGTACTATTTCTTGCCTTGCAAGCACATTGATTGACCGGTCATTCTGTATTGTCATTGTATTCATTTCTTCATCAGATAGTTACAAAGGGCACTCCATAAGGTACTGATGACACATTGGCAAGCAAAATAGAAAAGCTTACAGTCTAATGGGTAAGACAAACAGGAGCCTATGGCAGAGAAAGGTAGACTCAACCTCCTTTTTCATGCCTTTTCTCCCACATAGGACTGTGGGTTCACTCAGGACAGCAAGCTGTAGCCCTGGGGTCCAGTGAGTGGCTGGCACATGGATATGTGAGGTCATGGGTTTACACTGAGGAAATAGCTGACACGTTTTTCTGGAGAAGATGGAGGCTGATTAATTGTAATTGATGAGACAAAACTGGCCCAGAGGAAGGGTGGTCCAGGCAWGGAGCTCAGTTTGGGGGAACAGAGTTGAGAACATGAGAGTGGAATGACAGATAAAGGGGAGAAAGGCTGTAGAATATGAAGACAAAAGTGCATCTCAAGAGCTGATTCCTTGGAGAAGTATTTTCCTCCCACTTTTGCTTCTCTTGGGTTGTCTTAGAAAATATTGCCCTCAGAGAAAGGTGATTTGACGCGGTGGTGAGAGATGAATGCTGTGTGCRTAAACAAGGAAGCTGCAGCATTTATCTCGCATTTTCTCTTGGGTTTTCTGAAGACATTTTATGACATCAGAAAGGAAGACGGAAAAAAAACAAAACCAAGAGTAACATCGAGTGCAGTTCCTTTCATTTGATCTTTCTCTGCTTTTGCACCTTATTTGGGACAGGCCATTACCTTTTAATACCAAATAAAGATGTCATAAAGAAATAGACAACAAATAAAAAGCCCATTTTGACTAACAATTTCAGATGATAACTGAAAGCTGATAAGCACGATTATGCTTGATGAGACAATTTGGGGCTAAAAGCCTATATCTCTCCTCCATGAAATGTTTTTCTGCTTCCTTCTCTTTTTATAGTACCACTTTTCATCTTCTGAGCCCATGTGTGATGGTTCTCTATAATAAGAACTAGGGGCCTGCTCCAAAATCTTGTTTCAGTTTCCTTATATCTAGGTTGTACCTGGAGCCTAGAACACATATAGGGGACATGTGCCAGGCACTATTCTAAACACCCTAAATGCACAAACTCATTAAATCCTTACAACTATCCACAACGTGAGGCTTATTTTTCCATTTTACAGGTGAGGAATCAGGTTATGGGATGTGCCGAAAGACACTTATCTGCCAAGGGACAAATCAGGATCTGGTTGCAGAGGCTGCCCTCTTTGTCACCCGTCTTGCCTGCTTCTCTCTATACATGGCTCTGCATGAGGTCAGCCCAAGAGGAACCCTGCCTGGCATGCTCTTCTTGTTTCCATGCATCCCTGCACCCTCAGCTCAGGATATATCTCTTTCCAAAGCTCTTGCTCCACACCCCATCTTCACCCTGAAATGCAGTGTGGTGCTATGCTAGAGGAGGAAGCAGAAATCACTGAATGGATGAAGAGGGAGATGTGCTTAAAAGCCCTCAATGTGTTCAACATCATCATTGTTTTCTCTTAAGCCTCTGAAGTGAGACAGACCTTAATCTATGCTTCAGCACTGCCACTTACTCTGTGGTGTTGGGGTCATCCCTCAACTTTCCTGGATCTTGGTTTCCTCATCTGTGAAATAGGTATAACACTATAATTACTCTTCGGGGGTTTCATATAATTACGTGAGACAACAAGCAGTGCTGTGCCTTCTGACTGGCATTTCTAGGCTCCCAGAGTCAGCTGTCACCACTACTGTCGCTTCTATCATATTATATCAAAATTATCTGCCTATATTCCTGGATTGTCTGTATGAGTATCTTGAAGGCACATATCAGCCATGCCCATCTCTGTATTATAGCACTAGCTAGCATAGGGCAAAGTACAGGACAAACACTTAAAGTTAAATCAAAAGAGCTGATTTCTGGAGGACACTAGCCAGGCTAGGAGCTATGGAACTGTATCTCATCTCCTTAAATCTTGACCCTATTCCTGCTTCTTGGAGCCCTTTCTGTCCTCTCCATTTCTTTCAACTACCAACAGAGCCATTCCCTTAACATTGCACATTTAAGGCTCTTCTGGTGGGGCGTGGAGCAGTCTCATTTTCTCTGTCACTCTTTCCAACAGGAGGATTATGAGAAGGAGCACTGATGACTGATATTTCCCTATATCATATTCTCATGCTTTTCTTAGCCACAAATAACACAAATGAGATTGCACTTATATGCATGCATGCATACACATGATATAAGATGAAAAATTCTGGCCAATATAAGACTTGGAGCCCCAAGATTCTGAGCAGGGCTCAACGTGGGCTGATAAACTCAGTTCTGTACCTATATATTGCTGAGGAGGAAAACTTGTACAAATTCTATGGAGGTCATTTGACCAGATTCACCAAAATTCCGCATGTCCTCATTATATATCCTCTGACCCAGAAATTAATCTTTTAGAAATTTACAAATATACTTACCCATGTGGGAAGTGACAGATGTGCAAGAATGTTCACTATGGCATGGGTTATAATAGCAAAAGTCTTGAAATAACCTAATAATTCATCAGTGAAGAGTAGGATAAACAAATATGATACAACTCTACAGTGAGATACTTTAAAGAGATGAAGGATGCTCAGTGAAAATATTTAAAGTCTCCCAGATAGTACCRGGAGAAAACAAAATTCAAAACAGCTACATAGTTATTTGTATCAGAGGAAAATATCCATATAAGGAAGCACCCAGAAAGAAATATATTGACATACATATTTTCTGGTGCATACATAGAATGACCATTGAAGGATATATACACATCTGGTTGCCTCTGGGAGAACAAAGTGGCTGTAAATTTGGAAAGGAAACCTCACTGTGTACACTTAGGAAATTTTTATCATGTTTACTACCTATCAAACGGAAAAAAACAATTTTTTAAAAGAAAGCCTAAGAAGAAAATGTGTTTATATTCTAGGTCTATCCTTACCATCCCTCTGAGGGATGAAGAAGGAAATCAACTGAACTGGTGGAGGATCGACTCTGAGAACACAGCTTGGTACACACATCTCCTTGTTCTACCCCTTTGGAGAGATGGTATCAATTCCCCAAATTCATACAACCAGCAAGTGGCAAGAAGGGATTCAAAAACCATCTTCTTTGTTCCATATCTTCTCAATTCTTTGAAAAGGAAACCTCTARGAGCACAGGGCTGCCTTTGTGCATAAGTATGTGAAGGGGATCTTCCGGATGCCTCACTCGTGCCCTGGGAGGAAGGCCCCGTTGACCTGCTCAATAAGTAATGGGCAGATTGGAGCCTGAAGCCCCCAGTGTCTCTTTTCCAGAGTCTCAGCCAGCCTTCTGCTTCCTATGGCGGTGAGCAGCCTGGGCTTTCACTTGGGGCCCTGGGGGATTGGGATCCCCATATCCTCTAGGCYAGGAAAGAAGGAATGGGAGGAAATATGCCTGGCAAATGAGTGTTAGCTACTGACCTCCTGGAGTTGTATTTGCTCTTTRCTGATAGGTTCTTCCTATACCAACTGTTCACAGCAGGGCTATAAAATACTGTAATATGCTGGGTTGTTTAACAAGTAAATATTATGCTGGCACTGTCCTAAGCACTGTCACTGAGTGTGTGTATATCTGGAAATGGGTGGAAAACGGGAAGCGACAGGGTAGTATGCATTCTGAGGGAGGGGTTGCCAAGGTGAAACAAACCCAGCTCCCCTTCTCAGAGAATCCTCTGCTCTTATTAGATAAAATGAGAAACACAAACCTTCAAGGTTGTCAATTGGGAAAAGGGGCTCATTAGTGCTGGGTTTAAAATCAGCCTAGTATGAAATGTGCCACTTTCAAAGCAGAAAACAACTCAATTMTTTTTCTAAACTTTCCTCTTAGACTGYAGATATTAGGATAAGACTCCATTTTCATCATATTCATAGAACCAAGGG